CTAGTCCCGATCTCGCGCCGTCGGCCACCGGTCCGCGTCGTCACTTGTCCCTTCCCTCTTCGTCTTCCATCCCGTGTCTCCCCCAACCCCATACCCCAGCCGCCTCCGCTCAGTCCTCCCCGCACACCAGCCGCAGCCGCCGCCTGCCAACGCCCGGACGAACTACTGGTTGGCAGGTTCCAGTCCAGGTCGTGGGTGACACAGTGACACCTGGGGCCCCGCCGTTCCACTGGACTAGCGATCCGAAGGAGGGGACGAGCGCACACCAGGTGTTCGAGGGAATGCACCTCTGAAACGCCTTTCCCAACGAGCAGCGTCGAGAATGACGTTCGGGTCTGTCATCGAGAGGAACGTGGCGCGGCCACTCATGAGGCTGGTCACCATGCGCGGCGCGCCCATCCTACAGCAGCTCCACCTGGAGGAACGTCTGCTGCGCCGCACCAGCGATAACTGGTGCATTGTCAATGATGGCACGGCTCCTCCCACCATTGTCATGGGTGTCTCTGGGTAACGTCCTCTCGGTGTCTACAGTACTGCCTTCCATTCGCGTGTGGCTAGTGTGATTGTTTATATGGTTTTGGTGCTAACAGGAAGGTCTCTGAGCTCGTCGAGATACGGCCTGTGCTTCAAGATCATGTGCCGGTGGTAAGGCGGTTCAGTGGAGGTGGCACTGTCATTGTTGATCAGGGGACGGTGTTTGTCACCTTCATATGCAACAAGACTGCCGTCGCTGGGTTGCAGCCGTTTCCCCGCGACATCATGTCATGGACAGGCCAGCTGTATGGTAAAGTGTTTCGTGGATTCGGCGAATTTCATCTGCGTGAAAATGGTATGTCAAAGTAGCAGAGTATTTCACCACCGGCCAGTTACTTTTACATTGGAGTTGTTTTGTTTTGATCAGTGAAAACTATATCCTATGTTTTTAAGGCGACGCCTTACCGCCTTAGGGAGGGGGGGCGCTTTGGCGCCTAGGCGACGCCTAGGCGGGCGCTTTGGACGCCTAGGCGCCCAAAGCGGTCGATTTTCCAAAGCGGAGGGGGAGCGCTTCGACGCCTAGGCGTCGCCTAGGCGTCGCCTTAGGGACGCTTTTAAAACATAGACTATATCATTGTTCCTAATCAGGCCTTTGATTGCGCATTTGCACTGACCATTTATATAGTGGTGTACACTCGCTATTCTCGAATTCCTGTACCGATCTTATTTCATCCTTTTTTTTCATCTGTATTTTATTTATTGACTGTATTAAGGTCTCCAAATGTCTCAGGGTTCCCACCGGGCATGTTTTGAATTTTGACCAGTTGCATCACAAATCCAGAATCTGCTAATCTGATCCCTATAGTCTGCAAATTTAGATAGCATAGATTGAAATAAAACCATGGGCTCACATATCACACAACTAGCATTTCTGGTCCCCATTGTAATCTTTGATTCTTGTTCTGAAATGTCACATATAAATGCATTCTGCTCTGTTTATTGCCTTGCAAGCTGCAATGGTTCCTGGAATGATTTAATGCAGACAGTCTATTTGACATATCTCTTTCCAAATTTGAAATTATGTTTGTAAAAAGTTGTTCCTGGATCTGGCATATATATCAAATATTCAGGGATGCCAATTCGCAATGTACATGTGCTGCATATCTTTCCAAGATTACACTCATGTGTGCATTATTTTTCGCAGACTATGCATTCGATCATCGAAAGTTTGGTGGAAATGCTCAGTCCATAACAAAAGATCGTTGGGTACACCACACATCATTCTTATGGGATTATGATGTCAAAAATATGAGTTATCTAAAAAACCCACAACGTGCTCCTGAATATCGGCAGGTACAGTTATCTCTGTTCTATTTTGCTTTGCTTTGAACCAGAAATTTTAACCTTTCTAAACAGAAATATGGGTTAAGAGGCCATAACTCGGGTTAACTATGTCCATACAAGCTTCTATTGTTTGTTATGTTACCAAATTTGACGCTGGCTAGTGTTGGTATGATTCCCCAAAGATAGGGAAACAAGTTGATCTATTTGTAGCGGTCCGGTGGCTATCTTGACTATGATTTCATGTTTCTAAACAACTCATGACGTCAAGATATGTAAATTACTTAACTATCAACTGAATTCTGCTGGAAAAAAAATCTCAGTTTAGAATAGATGCACTCTGCTTAGAATAGACACACTTCATAAAACTTGGTGCAATCCTTGGCACAATTTACCCAGGAGGAGAGTTAACTACCCAGTCTCTTCCAGTTTTGGGAATATCAGTGATAGTTCCACCGAGAGACGGAATAAGAAAGTTTCTGAGCGAGATTACAGTTTATTGTTTATTGATATTGACACCTGTAGGGAGAATCATACGAGGGATTTCATTGTAAGCATTTGCGTGCACATCCTTGAGAGTCATGTAACTGAAAGCACCGAGTTGCGTAGTGCATACTCCCTCCGTACCGAAATACTTGTCTTAGATTTGTCTAGATACGGATGTATCTAAGACAAGTAATTTGGGACCAAGGTAATACTTGTTTACCACCGGTTATTGGCTGCAGTGGTCTGGTACTGCTCAAAATACCATGCAAAGTTTAGTGTCAACAAACAGCATTTCCCCCCATGAATTGGCTTATTGCTGTTGAAACCTTGGCCGACTAGCTTTGATCCCCAAGTCGCACAATGACCGTTGAGTACATCCCAGTCTTTCATAGGCATAATTGCATTGTTATTACTTTTGTGATGATGGACTGATTCTGGGAAAGTTGTGTTGTAATGAAAATAGGTTCTGATTTTATAAAGTTAGGAGCAGTGTCGTTCCCAACAAGCATTACAAGTCTTTGAAGTTCCGTCATGTTGATCTCCAAACTAAAAGCCTTTCATATTTTTCAGGCGAGGGAGCACTCAGATTTCCTGTGCCGCATGAAGGAGTACATGCCATCACGGTCAGTTTTCACTGAAGGGATTACCGCGGCCCTCGGAGACCACTTTACAGTCCAACACACAGAGCTAGAAACAGCGCTCTCTGAAGACCACGATGACTTCATTCCTTCTACGAAGGTGCTATCGCCGCAGGACTTGCAAGACATCATCTCCTCCAAAGAGCCTCCCACATCAGAGAGAATTCAAGGATGGCCACGGTGATGAAGATGACTGCGTGTTTTGTGGCATACGGCAATTTTTATGCCACACGATGTACTCAACTTGGAGTTTAAGCCACACTCACTGCTTTCACTTGATTTTGACAAACCAGTTAGTCAGAAGGTGTAGTTCCAATATTTTTGGCAGCCTTGGTTATGCTGTTGCCTGGTGAAAATCGGTGATAGGATTCGGACGCAGGGGCGGATCCAGCATGGGGCTTGGGTGTACAGATGTACACCCAAAAATTTCTGCAGTTTTTTTTCCCCTATATATAGGCATATATGACAGATACACTATTCTGCGGACCTAATACGCCTATTTCAGCAAGCAGGTAGGCAGCAACAACCCACTGGCTTCGTTCTCTTGCACCTTCAGGCTTCAGACCACTTATGTCCACTAGGGCGCACGCACGCATGAGAGGCTCACCCAGCCAAGCGATTCTTGTCCACTCACCAAACAATTTTCTCAAAAAAATCAAAGAAAAAGAAAAGCCAGCGATTCTTCCTTCTTCCCACAGAGCCACAGAGGCATGAACGAGGCGGCGGTGCTCTCATGACAGTGGCGGAGACAGGGGGCCAGCAAGGGCCTTGCCCCCCCTAACATCAGTCATTTGCTGCTAATTTGATATGATCAGTGACAGAATTAGTCACTATTTGCTACTAAAAAAAATCATTTTTCAACAACTTGCCCTTCCCAACTTGTTTTAGCAACACGTGGTCCTCCTTGTACATAATCTGGCTCCGCCACTCCTCGCGACCAAACCCGATGGGCATGGCGAGCCACAGCCGCTGCCACGCGGGGGAGCCACCAGCGCAGGAGCTCCACGCGGATGAGTCGCCTAGTGCCATGCCCGCAGCCACTACTAGGGAGGAGCGATGGCCCAGTACATGATCCAAGCGTCGTAGCATAGAGGGTCACGGCGGTGGCCGCCACAGCCGTAGACGTCGGGGATACCACTGTCCACTGCATATCGTCCCACCTACAGCGTGAGACCTAAGGCAGCCTTGTCACAAACCAAACATCTCCATAGGTCATAGCTCACGCCTAGGGGACATATGCCCCCCCCCACCCCCCACCACCTAGATCTAG